AATCCAATCTGATACTGTTGTTTAAGAATACTAAGTCAAAGCTTTAGATCAAGAGCCAAGATGGATTGGCAGTTTACATGTTGACTTGCAGTAAACATGTAAACAGTTTACTCCTCAAATGATACTTTGATCTGTAAACTTATTGTAGATATCACTATTTAGAATGCTCTCTTGTTTAATATTCAATGCCAGCTTGTCCTGATGAAATTCTTGCCATCATCTGAATTCCATTATTGTATTTATCCTTTAAGACTAAATTCACTTACCCCATCAGCCTATAAATCATAGTTCTTTTTCTCACAAAATCAAGGACTCGGCTTATTACCGGGCTAGAGGCTACAGAGGGTAAAAAATAAATACTAACTTTGTTATTCAAGCTAAAACCCAGGCACCGTTATACATATATACATTTTATAAATATAAAGTTGATATATAACATTATATTAGTTTCAAGTGTATAACAGTGTGGTGATCACTTCGTAAGGTATATAAATGTTCAATCACTAAGTCTAGTAACCATCTATCGCTATACATAGACATTACAATATTATAAACTATATTCCTTATGCTGTACATAGTATCCTGTGACTGAAAGTTTGTATTCTTAATCCCATTCCCATTTTAGGCCCATCATCCCTCCCGCATCTAACAACCATCAGTTTGTTCTCTGTACCTATGAGTTTGTTTCTGTTTTGTTTTGTCTTGTTTTTTAGATTGCACAGATAAGTGAAATCACATAGTATTTATCTTTCTCTGAATTACTTCACTTACCATAATGTGCTCCAGGTCCATCTATGTTGTTGCAAATGGCAAGATTTCATTCTTTTTTTATGGCTGAGTACTATTCTGTTATATAAATATACATCTTATCATCTGTCAACAGACACCTATGTTGCTTCTGTATCTTGTCTGTCACAAACAATGCTGCAATAAACAAGCAAATGCATGTATCTTTTTCAATGAATATTTTCATTTCCTTAGGATAGATACCCAGGAGTGGAATTGCTGGGTCATGTGGTAGTTCTATTTTTAATTTTTTGAGGAATCTCCATACTGTTTTCCATAGTGGCTGCACTAGTATATAATTCCACCAACAGTTCATGAAGGTCCCCTTTTCTCCACATCCTTGCCAACACTGTTTTTTGTTTGTTTGTTTGTTTTTGACAATAGCCATTCTGACAAGTGTGGAGTGATAGCTCATTGTGGTTTTTGATTTGCATTTCTCTGATAATTAGTGATGGTGAGCATTTTTCCATGTGTTTGTTGGCCATCTGTATGTCTTTGGAGAAATGTCTATTAAGGTCTTGTGCCCATTTTTAAATTAGTTGTTTTTCGGTGTCAAGTTGTATGAGTTCCTTACATATTTTGGTTATTAACCTATTATCGAATATATCATTAGCAATTATCTTCTCCCATTCAGTAGGTAGTCTTTTCATTTTGTTGATGCTTTCCTTCACTGTGCAGAAGCTATTTAGTTAGATGTAGTCCCACTTGCTTATTTTTGCTTTTGTTGCCTTTGCTGAAGGAGACATTAAAAAAATATATTGCTAAGAGTGCTTTTAAAGAGTTTACCATCTATGTTTTCTTCTAGGAGTTTTATGTTTTTAGGTCTTAAAGTATATAATTCATTTTGAGTTTATTTTTGTATATGGTATAAGAAAGTGGTCTAGTATAATTTTATGGCATATATCTGTCAAGTTTTCCCAACACCATTTATTACTTAACAGTATCCTGAATCCTTTTGAAAGATGTAGCTCTTTGTGAGGATAGAAATGGAAAAGTTTCCTGAGTGGCAAAGAGCCCTCCTGTGTGAAGTCCAAGTAGCAGAGCTTCTTGTTCCCCAACTTAGAGCAGCTAGAAATCTTTATATACTACTCTGGGCCCTTCTTAAAGTTTACAGCCTTATGATTCACTCAATATATGCATCCAAGACGTAAACCAAATGGATAAATATTGCCTCAAATATTCACAAAGGCCCATCAAGTATTATATCTTTTTATTAGTAATAGGAAATACATACTAAAGCAAATAGTTTTTCACTGTGGAGGTAGTATTCCAAAATGTGTCAGACCCAGAAGCATCCCAAGTGTATTAGGTACCTGAATTCTTCAGTTCTCTCTCTGGAATGCATGTATTTTGCCAGGGCCTTCAAAACACCTGCCATATCAGCATGATAGCATCAGTACAGTACATGAGCATGATGTCCTGAGAAACATCTTGATAATCAGAATCCTGTAAACTAAATATTGGCACAGAGACAGCAAGTTGCTATAGCCTTAAATAGGACAGAAAAAGTATACTGTCTCCTAAGTGAATGCACAGAGCTTCATTTTATTTTTATTGAGATAGTAAAAACAAAATAAAAAATACCTCCCAGATCAAAACCTGTTTAACAAGTATCATGGGCAATATTGATTGTTCCAGGAAAGGAACTACAATCTGGAACATCAGCAGTGTGTAATTAGGTATACCATCTGATTGTTTATGATAATTCACAGCCATTCTCCGAAATCCTTCTATATTCTGCATAGGTAAAATAGACAAATTTATTGGGCATGTAGTAGGAATGTCCATCCTTGCTTCAAGACTTTAGTGTGGCACTGAGCTCTGCAAATCTTCCAAGTTAATATATAGATCAAAGAAGTTTTATGAAGGCTGAGTTTATGAGAATGACTTCCCTAAACTATTGGGCCACCAAGGTAGCATCTTGCTGCTTCTTCCAGGATTAAGAACTTGAAAAGATAGGAAGCCCCTGAACAGCTATAGGATGAGCCAGAGCCATGCCACCTCTGCCAAATCTGCACCAACAAAATGCATGCCTTGTGCTCTGCTTCTCATCTTCAATAATGCCCTTCTATATCAAAGTTTCAAATGAGTATTTCTGACTGGCAGAACTCAAATCATATCCAAAGTCCTAATTGCAGAGGGGTCTAGGAAAAATGATTTCTAGCTCTCCAGTCCCAGAAATACAGGAAGATGTGCTAGAACAAAAAGGGATGGCATGAGTGTTGAGCAAGCCCTTCCATGGTTTCCACCAGAGGGGCCTCTCGTGTAATGTTGCCAGCCCTGGCCTCCTCATCAGCCTCTCAAAAGTTCCCCTTTACAGAGGGGCAATGTCATTTAAAATGTAAGAAAGAATAGAGGCCATTTGTATAATAATGTTTACAGAATTTTAAATTATCTTAATGATTATATACTTAGTCTTTGATCTCATATGAACTTCAGTTATATCGGAGAGATAATAGTTCATAGCTATATTATGGAAAATCTCTATGATGAACTTTTCTTTTAAACACCATTCTCTAATAGGGCTGTTTTAACTTTAGAAAAAATGGTTTTATTTCTAGTATTTAACCTTTCAAGGGTCAATGAATTAAACTTATATAACCTTCAATGATTTATATTATCCTATATTATAATATTTAACACTTATTGAGCACTTACTAGGTATCTGGCACAATGTTAACTATTTTTATTATCTAAATCTGCACAATTGAGTGAAGTGGGTGCTATCACAATCACTATTTTGCAGATGTGGTAGTTGGGACATAAAAGTTTAAGTAAGTTGCTAGTACAAGTTCATAAACAGTGGAGCTGAGATTTGACTCAGGTGGTATTGAGCTGCAGAGTCTACAAACCTAATCCTGTCACTACTTTCATCATTTCATTCTCACTCTCAAAAGTCTCTTATTTCACTTTTTAAGTTATCTCATAAAGAATTACATACTGAGAAAAGAGGTAATTAAACTTTTAAAGCATCAGTGAAATACCCAACAGAAGTTTTTTAGAGCTTAGAATACTCTTTCTTTCAGATACAAACAAAAACGTTGTACAAAATTTGAAATCTGGTAAGTAGTACTGGAGAGTTACAAAGGGTGTCTTAGCCAATTACATTATTAAGAAATAACAGTGATAATTATGATTGCTATTGTAATAAAGTGATGTGGTTTTATTATTGATGAGTTGATTTAGAAAATATTAAGAGCTAGTTATGCATGCCCCAATTTATAATAGACATTTCTTTTGAAATCTATAGTTCATTCACTTTCTTATTGTTATTCACTTTTAGAGTATATTATTAAAATGTCAATTTGAGAAATATCTTCATTACATGTTCATCCTAAAGGAGGCAAGTGACATTTCCTAGTTTTATATGGCATCATTTATTTAGCATTGTCATTTAAATATTTTATAAATAAAAGTATCTCCTTAATATGACTTTAAGCTCATATAGCATAATTACAAGGTAGTCGTTTCTGTCTTTTGAGATACTCCTTAAAGCCTCCATTCTCTCAAATACATTAATGGATACATTTAATGAAATTCCAGCCATTAGTTATATACCCCTTAATGTGATTAATAGTAAAAAGGCTTTTCTTCTAATAACTGTATGTGAGATAGCTTGTCTCCCACTGTCCTTTTAAATGTATTTAATGGGGAATACTTTTGCTGCCTGTAGACAAAAATTCAGAGCCCCGCATTTTTTCTCCTTACTCTAAAATGGCTCACTTTTGACTTGTAGAGAATAGAGAATCCCCTCCCAACTGTCCCTCTCTGGTGTGAAGGTGGGACTCATAGTGCAACAATAGCTCTCTCCAAGATCATCTTCAAACTCCTCTCTCTCACCCTTTTTCTATATCCATCTATTTATCTCTATATTTTGTGAGTAAAATCTTGAATTGTTTTACCATCTCTTTTATTCATTCTGTATATAGTCTGTCATTTAAAGGATTATATTCTTTTTATACTTCAGCTAAAACTTCCATTTTAGCACCTTGCTGTATAATTTAAAATAGGAACTGCTATATAAAATATTATTACTTATATCACTATCATTTGTCTGTTTCACAGTTTTGCTTGAGGCTGACCCAGAATTATGTTGACACTTTTTGTATTCCCCCACAGCATGGAGCTTAGTAGTAAAGTCTTAGAAAATGCCCATTGAATATATTTTGAACTGACTTGATAGAAAGTGGAAATCTACTCGTTTTTATCTTTAGTTTCAGGTGCAGCATTATGTCTCTCAGAGTCTGGTCACCCTGGGAAGTTGCAGCTTATTGAGAAAATCTATAATATCTCTGCTCCTGTCAGAAGTGAATCGCTTCACCGATGACCTGCGTGCCATCAATCAGGTACTAAGAACTTGATACTGTAACTCTCATTTATAGTTAATATAGCTATATAGGCTTTTCCTCCCCTGTCTCCTCACTTCTTGCCAGACTTATATTTTAGTTATTACCTTATTTCTAATGTATGTGGATACTGTTACTGTCTACTGAAATTGTAGAAAGATATTTTCAGAAAATAGTTTTCAAAATAATACCATCTTATCATCCTTACTTGTACACATGTGCCACCGGTGACAGCAAAGGAATGCTTAGATTAATGGCCTTAAATCTCCAAGCAGGCAGCATATTCCTAAAATCAAGGAATGAGAGAAAAGTGAACAGGAGAGGATGTTAAATGGAGAACAGCTTCTAACCAGTGGCTCTTTTTCCTAAGTTCTCCGGAGAATTATCTGGCTAACTTTTAAATACCTTGTTGCCAAGCCATATGCCATTGATATTAAAATGGAGGTCCCTGTAGTTAAAGCTTTCCAGGTGTTTCCAGAGTGCTGCCAAGGTTGAAAGCCAGTGCTCTAAGCCCCTTCTTTGCCTGTGCAAAGTTTTCTATCACTGCTGACAAACGTGTCTGTTTTAATGTTGGCACTGGTATATTATGTGTTCACTTTGTTAACTCATTTAATATTATTGCTGTTTCTATGGTAGAGTTAAGCACAATTAAAGGAAATCACAGGTAGGTACAAATGTTTTGGTGAAGAGAAAAAATATATATGTGTGTATATAATATCAAGTAGCTTTTAACCAAGTACTTACATCTAAGTTCTCTACATTCAATGACATGGTAAATCATCTAGTCGGCAACTTTTCAAGTGACTACGAAATGGTAACTTCTTACAAACTGTTAGATATATTTTTTAAAAGTAATTTTTATTGATCTCAAGGAGCCAAAAGGTGATTTGAGAATCAAATAAGGTGCATTTACTTACTGAAAAAAAATGAAGTGTTAAAATGCATGGTACTGTTTGTAAGAGTTCTAAAATCAAAGAAGTGATCAAGGTAGGTTGGAAGTCCCTGAAAAGTCTTAAAAGACTTCATGGAAAAGGAACAACTTGAAAAACAGCTCTGAGTTGAAAAAAAGAGGATAACAGAATAGGGAGGCACTGAGGGTTTTTTTAAAAATATGTGCCCAGGATTCTGAGGAAATAAGGTGAGGTCACATGACATTTAAAAACAGGAAGCAATGTGGAAAATTAGTTTGATTGAGATTTTTTATGTGGAGAATAAAGTACAGAAAAGAAAATTTTATTTATATATTCTCATTTAATTTTTCAAAACTCCATGAAGTAGTTTTAAAAAGTCAAACCTTAGAACAGTTAAGCAACTTGATCAAGATTGCAGAAAGGATGTATGCTAACACCATAATTCAAACCCTGGCATTCTGGTTGTGATGCCACTAAGGATAACAGTAACACAAGAACAATAACTAGTTTTTGGCTGGCGATATGTGTTAATATGCTTTACATGAATTGCCTCAATCCTTTTAATATCCCTTCAAAAATAATAACCTTCAAGATGTTAGTATTGTTTAAAGATAAGGGAGCTATTAGTCGACATCTTAATAGTAGACAATAGAAACCAATTTAAACAGAAAAGGTTGTATGAATAACTATAGAATTGTTGAGAGGGCTGAAGAAACTCTAGACTTTACTTTCATGAATGACTCCCCTAACAACGGATAATTTAGCTACCAGAGGAATTGCTGCTTTTGCCATCATGACCAAGAAGCTGCCTGCTGACTCAGGGAGCTGCTGCTATAGTCAGAGGGTTCAGAAAACAGTTCTGCCACAATGTACAACAGCCACATGTATGCCCTCACTCTGTGATTCAGTTTCAACTACAAAGATTTTGTGATTGCATCTGTTTCTGAACCAACATATTCAGCACCCTAGCAGCAAGGAAGTATAGAAAATGTAGTTTTATGGTTTTTCAGCTTTTTCCACTCTAAAAGGGTGACAGAATGACTATTGATGTAGTAGGTCCAAGGAGTACATCATGTATAAGGCTCAGAGATTCTGTAGCATGCTGGAAAGAGATGGAATCAGGTTGTGGCAAAAGGCGTGAACACAGGGAGGCCATTTATTTGCAATAAATCCACAAGTAGCAATAGAGATAACCACCGGATTTAAGAGGTGTTATCCCCAGGACTCAAGGAAAGATTTAATGTGAAGGAGAGAGGAGAATCAGTAGAAACATTAATATTCTAAGACTAGGAGACAGGGAAAATGTTATCTCTGGGAAGGAATGCTTGTTTGCGAACAGAGTTGAGTTTGGATATATTGAAGTAATTAAATGTAGGCAGATGGAAATATGAAATTAAAACTTGAGAGAAAGAAGAAGGGCATACACTGAAATTTGGGAAATATCGCTATCTGGCAATCATAAAATCATAGAGAACAGGGACTCAGAAAAGTAAGGTGAAGTAGGAAAGGCACATGTACAAATAAGGAAAGAAGACAAGCTTTAATATGTATGTTAGATAGCTATAATAAATGTCAGGCTTAAAATTATTTTTGTCAGATTTAAACAGTAATATATATTTATTATAGATAATATATATTCTGCATAAAATCTATAAATCTATAAATATTAAAATCATAAATTTTGTCTTTCCAATTTTCATTTTATCTCTTGGACAGAGTTTTTGCTGCCAAAAATATTTGAATTATACATATATACTTTGTACTGGTTTCTCATGTAATAGTATACAATGACCACTTTTCACATGATTTTAATTTTCTAATTGTGATTTTTTTTTTAGTGATGAGTAGTATGATATTCACATTCTTTGATTCAGTCTATTGTTGGACATTCAGGTTATTTATTGCTGTATGCATTTTTGACCTCTGATGTAAAACTAACAGTTTTCTGTAACTGATTCATGGAGATACACATTTCAGAAGCTGACTTTAATGCATTAACTGCATTCAACTTTTATTGGTGATCTGTATCTCAAATTTGCATATTGATTTCTTTTTTAAAAAGCATAACAAAATATCTAATTGCTGTTTAAAAATAAAATTTCTCAGAACTTCTGAAAAAGAATTTTAAAAGTCATGAAAGTTTACCGTTAACAGAACATCATTCTCAATGTAAACAGCTAAAAATCTGGACAAATATATGAATTAATGATCTTAAGACAATAGGCACTATAGAGTTGTGATTCCTGCGGTAAAGGAAACAAACCAATGTGAGTACTGTGATTGCCTTGACTTTTGGCCTAGAGGCCTCCTCTGGAGTGGCACTGGTGGAGCCCAGTGAAATCACAGCAATCCCATTGAACTGAAAGGGCTGAGCTAGAATTTCTGGATTAGGGTGATGTAGAGGAGAAATCTGTGAAGAGGAAGAGCTCAGGAAATTTATACAAAGGTTTTCTTGATTATTTGTTGACTGCTAAGCTGCACATGGGCAAGAGGACAGACAAGTCACAAGGCCAAGTGAAGAAAAACTACTCAGGAAGGAATTACTACAAAGAAGCTGTGAGCTGAACATTTGAATGGCCAGAGGTCACACAGTGCTTTAAGCAATCCAAATTCTATCCAGCCATCAGGCTGGACCTTGTTTAATACTCTGGGCATTCGGTAGAGACCCTAAAAGGTTACACTTTAGTAGTACAGTAATATACAGTTCTAGAATCAAAGCTGTGCTAGACCAATTCTAACAAAGTTTAGAAACAAGCCTTGAGAGTATCTTGCTGATTCACACACGGCTAGATTAACCACCTACTGGAACAAAATAATACAGGAACTCAACAACATGGAATTAATGTCTAGCATCCATTCAGAAATTATAACATGTAAAGAAGCAAGAATGTATAACCCATAATCATGAGAAAAAATCAATTATTGAAAATAGAACCAGAAACGACAGAAATAATGGAATTAGCATTCAAACACTAAGCTATTATAACTATGAGAAAAGAAAACGTAAGGGGAAAATAGGAAATTTCAACGTAAAAATAATAGCAATATACCTATCAGTAAAGCTGTTAAACACCATTCTAAACATTTCATGCTCTTCCAAGGCTTTTATATATTTTCCATTTAAAATAGCTATTAATTTTTATTTTAATGTTATATCATTTAATTTTCCCATCTAGACTATGAAGTAGTATTATTCCCATTTTTCAAAAGAGGACAATTAGGATTACAGTTTAAGTAGCCAGCTCACAGACATAGTAAGCATAGCACCAGGTTATTGAACCCAAGTCTGACTTCCAAGTTTGGAAGATAAACTATGCAATATGTTGTTACATACTGACCGCTTCAGTTATTTGTATTTTACTGCCACTGTTCTATATTTTAATTTGTCTTCTGTAACTGATATATATATTGTCCCACTTATTAAAGAAGTACAATTATTGTAGATAATCTATTTGTGTCAATTTTAATATATCCTTCATGTATAATCTACTGTGAACCAGATTTTTGAGAAAGTGGGTTTGTATTCTCTTATCTTGTCATCATTTTCTATAGCTGTGTTTATCTGAATGTAGTTTTCTTGGATCTTGAAAAAATTATCTATGTGACACTGAGGATAAAACTTCCCAAAAATCTTGACAAATATGTATTTTGTATTCCCCTGCTTGGAGTCTTTATCAATTGATTAAAATTAAGAGTTTGTATCTATTCTTTTTGGAGTGACAGAATTTTCTCATCATGATTGTTGCATATTTACCAACTTGTGACATAATCACCTTGGTTTTCTATTTATTTTGAAAATAACTTTGAATTCCATGGAGACGCTTTCTTCCTCTTTTTAGATAGAATTCAAGCTAGGAAAAGCCAATCAGTAAACAAATAGTTACAGAGCATCCAAAGGGTGACTATCTCTATAAAAAGCAACAGACTTGTTTTTAATAAGTTCTGTTTTATCTATAAAATTTTATTAAGTTTACAGGTTTCTCTAGATATCTCGATGGTATATGATTTTCACAGAATTAGCCTTATGATCCAGCATTGCTAAAATTTCTTAAGTATATTTCAGTTTCTGATATGGTAAGTACTTTATGG